TGTTAATATAGAGAGTGTGTCTTTAATATTGTTTAAAGAAATTTCTTTAGAAATACGCAAATGACACAATCGTCCAAACCAACAAAAAAAAAAAAAGAAAAAGAAAAAAGAAAAAAGAAAAAAGAATTAAGATTGATTAGAGAACACTTATGTTGTGAATTGTGATAGTGTCACTCCAAAAATCCTCTGAGCTAGACCATGCGGTAGAAATTAGAATGAAAAGGTACTTGTTTCCTCAAAAATTCTCAAGTGATCTTGCATATGTGAAATATGGATGTAGATGTGTTACTTACTTTTTTTAAAAGCAAGAAAAGGGATTTTCCCAACGACCCTCTTCTTTCACGTGGTCGACCTCCGTTAGGATGACTGGAAGAACATTGATTTAAAACTGAGTTTTGCACCCTTTACCTGATTTGCAAGAGGGAGGGATACCTTCCTGCAGAATGAGTTGCTAATCAGCCTTGGACAATCTCAAGGATTTTACCACTATCGTGAATTTAAGTTAATAGATCCAAAATGAACTAAATGAGATCCAAAATGAACTAAATGAGATAAAAATTAAAATAAACTTGATGTTTATTGCGTGAAAGGAATCAAAGAAGCAATTACACAAACTAATTTGGGTACTTGAATGCTAAAAACAATTTAAATTTATTGGGATATGTGCTCAAACTGAAATATGAAAGTTAAGATAAGCAATTACTACGAAACTAAAGAATTGAAAAATTGATGAGTTTCTGTGTAAGGCTGGTTCTGTTTTGAAAAAATTCAGAAAGTTTTTATTTATATCCTTCCTGCAAGTCTTGGCTAATCAAATCACAGATAAGTTCCTCCTAAATTCTAGGGATTTCTGTTCCTTTTAAATTTAAGTTGCAACAAATCAGATAATTTTTATCCTCCCAACCAATTTGATAGATATACATCCTTCAATAGATTTGATCTCACCTTATCGATTAATACGTGACATCATTTAAAAAATGTAATTTATGTGTAAACAGTACCATATATTTTTGTTGGAAAAAAAAGAGAAAGATTTGCCAAAGACTCACCTTTCACTCGGTGTTTCCCTACACAAAAGGGTTGTTGGAAGAATGTTTAAAATAAAATGTACTCGAATTAGATGATCGATAGGGATGAGGGATTAGTTCCTGCACAATGAGCTGAGGACTGCCTTAGATTGAAAATCTAAAGTAAGTCAAGGACTTTGATTACAACAAGAAGTGTCAAGAAAAATTAAATTAAATGCTAGAATTTAAATAAGTTTAAGATAGATGCTGGAAATTAATAAAAGAAAGTGTAGAAAATATAATTAGACAAAAATGAAAACTGCAGGCAGACGATGTAACTTGGCAGAAATCTGGAAAATGCAACAAAGGTGTAAAAGATTCTAAAATTAATTGAAATTGCACACATGAATTTACATCAAATTGAGTGTTTAGCAATTAAAATTCTAGTAGAAGCAAATAACAAAATAAGATAAATGTAGTGGAGACTAATCTTACCAAAAATTAAACCAACTATGAACAATAATCTGCTGGGGAATGTGATTTACTTCTACTGAACTAGAACTTAAAAGAAAACTTGCTGGAAAACAACCTTAGTCAAGAGATCACTAGGTTAGACAAAAACTAAGAGAAGCTTGTGAAGAATAAAAAATTTTAAAAAGTAATTGATTTGTGTTAAAGGGCAGGCTTGTTGGGACCCAAAAATGTGTTAAAAACTTGTATTTAAAGGCTTCCATAAGTGCATCTGCTCAGCAAAAATTAGATCTGGATCATCTCCTCCATCCACGATGAAAAACAATCTCAACAGTCCCAAAATTCCCTACATCATGTGAATTGCTAGTTAACTAGGAATAGAAATTCACAACTAGAAACTACCAAAACCAAATTCTCTTAAAAATCAGCCATACTCTTCTCAATTGATCGAGTCAAATCTGAATTGACCAAGTCAAATCTCACTTGAATTTGGTTTCCAACTTTGCAACTCATCCGCTCCAAAGAAAGAAGATGAAATTTCAACCCAAATAAAATATTACTTCCAATCCATGAGCCTTTGATTTATTTGCAAAAATCCAAAAAGGTACTTGGTTGCACTCGAATAACGTGATTATCATTTTAATTTAATAAAACTTCCTTTAAATCCATTTTAAAAAATAAAGTTGAACTCCCAAGCTTAATTAGTATAATACCAATCAACGGACTAAATAGTTTAATGATTATTTTCATCTGTTGAAAGTAAGAGTTTCTGAATTCGAGTCATATGACATGCAGTAAGATGAGATAATGGATGAAAGATGATTGTCTCCCATTATGTAACCAAGATAAAAAAAAAAAAAATTAACATGATACCAAAGTCTAACCCAAGAAAAATAAACTGTATTAACACGTGACAGCATAAAAAATAAATTTCATTGTACTGGATCACAATAAAATATTTTCAATTAATTCTAAAAAAATTATGGCCGCTCTAGGTTCATATGGACACATAATATTATCTTAAAAAATTGTTAATTATGGTGCAAACAGATGGTTAAAAATGACATGTATCTTAGAAAAATGGATCAATTATAGAACTAGACTGATATTCCCTTCGTTACAGCGCAGCTGCGATACACCACGAATAGGAACGATTTTGGTGCAAGATTGATATGTAGTTTCATTTACAGATGTCATATTTTATGGAATGACTCTCATACAAGACTTTGGAACAACAGGATTTGTTTTTGCCCTGATTAAAAAGCCAAATCTGACATGAAGAAAAAGGAGATCACTCAGGTCAATGTGCACAAATCAGATAGTTCTTGTGTTGTTAAGAGTATGACTAGCCATCCCGTCTTGAGAATCGGATAACTGTCCCCAGCCAGTCCGCTGGTATACTGTGTCTCAGCTCGCCGGATAGTGCCCTCAATGAGTGGCTTGTAGCTGCCTGCAGTAACATTGTGAGGAAATGTCAATGAAGTATGCAGAATAATTTTGGACGAAAATATCAGAATAGGAAAGATGAACAAGTTTAAGGGATTTGATATTACCTTCACTATATAGACATCAATTCCAAGTTTCGCTATCATTGCTGCTTCTGTTATTTTCGTCTCCATTCCTCCGGTTGTATCATGCGCTGCTACGGTTATTTCCACTGTATATAGCAATTGCAGTTTAAAAAATCCCTTTATTATGGTGAAGGGAATTTTAATACTGATGAAAAAGTAAGTTGAAACAAGGTATGTCATGTAACAACAGAGAAAACTCAGATTCGAAACCTTGATGCTGGTGATGCCTCAAAAAAAAAAGACCCTTGGACAGCGTGACAATGGATTTGAGATTGGAATGGTATTCTGTTGTATAGCTCATCATAGAATATACCAAAAAAAAAAAAAAGGGGTTGAACCAGCAGTAAAAGTCTTGACACAAAAGATTATGTTGTTGCCATTTAGCAATGAACTAATTGAAAATGCTACGTGAGACCACATATATTTCATTGTGATTTGGAAAGTATAAGATTTGCACCTTGCTTATTTCTGTTCTCAACTTCAGGATTTACAACAGACCAGCTCCCATCTTCATCCACGGCTGTTTATTGACAAAGATTGTTATGCAAAACCAGATTAGCACATCAAGGTATTAGATTTAAAGTTGGAATGCTTCACATCAAGGCATTAGATTTAAAGTTACTAAGAAATGCTTACCAATTTCTCTCAGAAGCACTGCATTGGGTTCTGTTGGCGGACAGTCATATACACCATAAACATCTGTCTATATACATCACATTAACCAGAAAACATGAAAAAAAAAATAACATCTTTGGGCTGCTACCAAAACCAACCTTACAACAATACAGTAGTCAATAATGGTTTAAATGACTAAAATCTATAAGGAACTCTCAGCAAAAAGAATTAGAAAGAATTGCTATACCTATGGGTGATAACAATTAAAACAACTAATGCCATCAGCTTTTACCCAATTATGAGAAACTTAAATTGCCATGAACTGACATTGTTCCAACCACATTTAGAACATTTAGTGAGACACCAAAGACCGTCATAACAACCAAACATTAGGAAACATATGGTGATTGTAGTAAGAATGGTGTTCTTCCAATGACAGTTAATGGAGGAAATATAACATGGTCACGGATTTTATATCAGGACAATCAGGGCCTAATGTGCATGGTTGAAACTTGAAAAAGATTTGATGTTTGTACCTATTCGTCAAACCACATTCAATAAAAGAATACAGCAAGGACCAAGGATACAAGAAAGACAACGTATTCAGGCTTCAGGTGCTCTGCAAGATGACGTATGATAACATCTCCACTCAATATGGTGCATCCCTGTTTAAATGGGTGTGGGTGTTAGGATTATGCCAGATTTAACAAATGGCAGATGGCTAAATGAATACTATTAAAATTATACCAGTTTGTTGTCAAGCACAGCATCTCCATGTAGAACCTGGAAAGTATATAAAAAGTTGACATATCATATATATTATATTTCGGCCAATATATACCTTATAACTTACAAGAAATTTTTAAATGGGTTAAAGTCGAATAGATGATGCTCTATTATCAAGCTCATAGACATCTATAATATCTAGAAACTCCATAAGAATAACATGATGAAATCTATCAACATAAAGGAGACTAGTGATAGAATAACTCATATTGCATTGTGTGAACTACCAAAAGGAAAATTTCCTATTATGAAACCAAGATTATGTATATGTGCATGTTAGAAGGACTTAACAAAGTTGTCCTTCAATTTAAAAGGACATGAGAATTTATTGTCATGTAGCTCATGACAACATGTGGTGTTGTCAGCCACTCATACTGCTCATTGTTTAAGGACTGGCAGTTTAAACTTCTTCTTCATTTTATTTTTTATTTTTTATTTTTAGTTTTTGTATTTAGATGAAATTTATACCTGTAAACTCAGTATAATTGGCACCCAAGCTTTTACAGGAAGTGTTTATTACCTCATACTCTCATAGCTTAAGTTCTTTCCAGTTTAGCCAGTCCTTCAGAAAGATCAATAGGCTTACAAAGAGAGTTATAGGAATAAGCTTTCTGGGAACCCAATTGCATCAATCCTTGGCACTTAGATCATAGGGTTGAAAGAAATAAGAGGGCTATCCCTCATGTATAGATCAGTTTTACCAGAAAAAGGAAGGCTAACTGTATGGCCATTTGTCCAGTTTAAATCTTTTATAAATATTCCTTCTTCTCAAATAAGGTTGTCTTGACCTGTAAGAGAATTAACTAGAGAACAAAGTAATTTGCAGTTTCGGGAATATTCTTATTCCAGTCTATCTACATAACAGATAACACAAACAAGCACATATGAATGCATAACATAAACAATTGAAATTAACTTCCACTCCATGATAACATTCAAAATAATTTCAAGAGTTGGAATGAGGGGAAACAAGAAAGTTAGAATTCATGATCTTTAAAAATCCCTTGTAGTCTGTAGATCCTTAAGAATAAGAATACCATTTTACAAATCATAGAATTCAAACTTACAGGTATAAAACCAGAGTGCAGCGCCTTGGCTACCCCTGCCAAATCAGCAGAAGCTACCTGGAGAAATATATGGGAAGTGTTTAGAGAAAAAAAAATGGCATGCCCCAGTGAGAAACACGAGGAAAAGTCAATTAGCATTAAGGTGATTGGAGAAAAAAAGTTAACAAATAAACACTTTCTGGATAGTACTAACATTTCTATTTGAGGTTGACCATCCAGATGAAAATGGAGACATTCCAATAGAAGGAATACCCTCTGCAAGAAAAGCATGGAAATTTGATAAATACATGCTCCAAATCCAGAAAAAGAAAGTGCAGCAAAATGAGGCTGGAAAAGAAGATTAAGACAAGCACTCAATAGCAAAAAAGTTAAGCATGCCAAAGAAGATTCTGGTTTTGAAAAAGCAGATAAGCATTTTCATCATCTCAATGATGATGAAGCGAGAAAAAAGCATTGCAAAAAATTGTGTTCTAGCTGCAAAGTGAGGTATGACGCATGAAAAAAAAAAGGTATTTGAGGCTTTGTTACATCTACTAAACAACTTAATGAAAGAAAAAGGAACTCAATTTGGAGTGAGATATGTAGATCAATACCCCTGGCAAGTGCTCTAACAATTTCAAGATTAAGATTTGTAACCTGCAAGTGACAAAAACAAAGAAAATGGTAACTACCAGAAAGAAGTTTAAAAAATGCAGAATGCTTTGTTTGATGAATAATCTGCAATAGAAAATGGAAAGGTCACACAAAATCTTAAAGTCCAACTATATAAATGCTTTTTGCCACTCTGAAGTATCAAATGTACTATTTCAATTGCCTAGTGTTTTCTTCTGATGATCTCTATTTGTTCATTTTAGTTTGGATAATTCAGAGAACTGACTTTATAGTTTTGATAGCACAAAAATGTTCCACATTCCAATACTTAGCAGAAGGAAAAGGTGAAGGAGAACAGAGCTTGAAATGAAACAAAAGAAGAAGAAGAAGAAGAAGAGAAACAATAGAGCAAGTGCATCTTACAGAGATGCGAGTAGCAACAAATCCAGCCTTGACTAGAGGTTGGTTCAATCCTCCTTTATGAACCCCAGATTTGCTAGCCTGAAAATGCCCAAAAGAACCTAAAACCAACATTAATCATAAACCAACATTAAAAAATATCCTCTTATCATCTTAGCACGAACAAATTGACCCTGAGAGGGTGTCTCAACTGAAAAGGGCTTCAGTGGAGCTCCCATGTTTGAATCTTAAGACCTATGAGGCATTTATGAAAGAGAGAACTATTCATGTTCCATGGTCCTCATTCTCAGATGTACAAAAAGAACAAATATCTTAGCCAAACTAAGCCTTCTCAGTCAAAAAAAAAAAATAATTCCATAGCTTATTAGTACACAAGCCATATTACCAAACTGAAATGAAATCTAAACCGAACTAACCTGCTCCGTGAACAACGATGAATTCGGAAAAATCCACATTAAGCTGAGCCTGATCTCCAAAATCACCTACAGTACAAGAAATATCTGAAACACCGGGTCTCTTGCTCCAATCCATCCCAACGACTTTGTTGGAACAAGAACCCATAATCATTGCTTGCCTTAGCTGCGAGGAAACTGTTTGAAGATTGTCTTCATTTATCATCTCAAGCTCATTCTTGCAAGTAATTGCTGCCCCTCCTGTTTTGCATGATCCATGAACTCAGAACAGATGAACATGAAATTTCTAGTTGAAAAACGGAAAAAACAAAACAAGGGGACAGTCGACAGACCGAGTTTGACGATGCAGCGGATTGATTCGGCGGCGATGGCGTTCGGGCCGATGTGGGTGTCATCCATTTCGTCTGTTGGAATCTTCGTTCTTCAACGCACTTCACATTTGCTAGGTGGGTCGAGAATTTCGAGATGGCGTCAACAGTACTGAACTAGTAACCACAAAC